GGACTCCCGGCGATTCTCCTGCCTCAGCCTCCTGAGTGCTGGGATTGTAGACTTGTGCCACCATGCCCAGCTTTGTTGGGTCTTTATACAATTTTCCACAAAATTTTTATTTTTTTATTTTGAAATAACTAGATTCATTGGAAACAGAAAAAAATATTACAGGAAACTTTTAGTTTCCCTGAATGGTAAAGGCAGGAAATTGGTGGGCTAGGGGTATAACTCAGTGGTATGCACCAGCTCAGCATGTTCTAGCTCTAAATCCTCAGTCATCAGCACCAAAAAAACCCACACATACACACACACACACACACAAAATTGGTATTGGTACAATCTATAGATTTCACTGGTTTTACATGGATTCACTTGTGTGTGTGTCTACCTTATGGGCAGATGTGTGTAACCACACAAGCAAGATGCTCTTTTGTCACCACAAAGGACTTCCTCATGCTACCCCACCTCCTTGTTCCCCATTCCTAACCTCTGAAAGCCATTAATTTGTGTTTATTCTCTGTTGTTGGAATTTCATCATGGAGTCATAACTCATGATTGGCTTTTTTCACTCAGCATCCTTCCCTTGAGCCACCCAAACTGTTGTATATACCAAGAGTTTGTTCCTTCTTATTGTTGAGTAGTATTCCATGGTCTGGATGTACCACAACTTGTTTAACCACTGGAGGACATTTGGCTTGTTCTCAGTCTGGAACTATTACAAAGAGGCTATGAACATTTGTATACATTTTTGTTGTTGTTGTTAGTTTTTTGAGACAAGGTCTCTCTGTGCTGTGTAGTCCAGGCTGGTCTTAAACCCACAGTGCAGTCCAGGCTGGACTCCAACTTGTGAGCATCTTCTTGCCTTAGCCCCCTGAGTGCTGGGATTATAGGTGTGCACCACCATACTCAGCTGTTTTTTGAGACAGGGTCTTGTTATGTAGTTCAGGCTGGTCTTGAACTCACTGTATGTCTCAGGCTGGCCTCAAACTCACAGGGATCCTCATGTCTCCGCCTCCTGAGAGCTGAGATAACAAGCATGAGCCACCATGCCCAACAAGTGTGTTTATGTCCCCCGCCCCTGCATCAGGAATGGAACTCAGGACCTTGTGCTTGCTTGGCAGGCATGGCACCACTGAGCTACATCCCTGGCACGTTTAGTTTTATAGGAAGCTACCAAACTATAATTCCAGAGTGGCTGTACCATTTTGCATTTTTACCAGCAATGAATGAGAAATCCAGTTTATTTATATCAACCAGAAGTTGACAGTCATCATTTTGTTTTAATAAGTGTGTAATGTCTGGTTTAATTTGCATTTTCCTAATGGCTAAAGGTGTTGAAGAACATCTTTTCATAAGCACATGAAATCCTCTTTGGTAAAATGTATGTAGATTCTTTTCTTTTTTCATTCTTTCATGTTTCTTCCTCCCTTCCAACTTTTCTTTTCCTTTTTTTTTTTTTTTTGAGATAGAGTCTTGCTATGTAGTACAGGCTGGGCTTGAACTCACTATGTAGCCCAGGCTGGCCTCAAACTCAGGGCCATCCTCCTGCCTCAGCCCCCCAAGTGGTGGGACTACAGGCATTGGTCACCATGCCTGGCCCACCCTTCTTTTCTCTTCTCTCCCCTCTCCTCCTCTTCCTCCCTCCCTTCCTTCCTTCTTTCCTTTCTTCCTTCCTTTGGTAGTGAGGATTGACCCAAAGCCTTTGCTCTGGGCTACATCCCTAGCCCTTTTTATCAAATTACTTACATATTTTGTGTGTGTGGTACTGGTGATTGAACCCAGGGCTTTAGCACTAAGCTACTGCACCTTACTTTTAAAAAAAGGGCCAGGGATTTAGCTCAGTGGCACCTCACCTGCCTCGCAAGCACAAGGTCCTGAGTTCAATCCCTGGTACCAAAAAACAAACAAACAAAAAACCTTTTTAGATAGACATTCTAAAATATATGAAAAGGCAAAGGAGCTAGAGAATCTAAAACAATTTTGTAAAACAGTAATAATATGGAAAGAATCACTGTACATGACTTTAGGACTTAAGTGTATAGCTGCATTAATCCAAAGGGACACATAAATCAATGGAACAGAACAAAAAACTCAGAGGTCGACTGATCCAGACAAGGACAATTGTTTTTTGTTTTTTTTTTTTTGGTACCGGGGATCAAACTTGGGCCCTTGTGCTTGCGAGGCAGGCGATGGAACCACTGGGCTAAATCCCCGGCCCCGACAAGTGATTTTTAAACATTTGATGATGGATAGTTTTTTTCAACAAGTAAGTGCCACAATTTATATAATATTAACACAAAACACATCATAGAGGTAAAGGTAAAACATAAAACTTGAACTTTTAGAAGAAAACAGGTAAAAAAACAAAAACAGGTAAAAAGCTTCAAGACCTTGAGGTAAGCAAAGAGTTCTTAGATAGGACACCAAAAACAATCCATAAAGAAAAAATTAATAATTGGACTTTATCAAAATTAAAAACTTTAAATTTGCAAACCATATATCTGACAAAAGACTTGTATCTCAGGTATATAAGGGAATTTGAAGACTGCTCAGTCACATGCACCTGTAGTTCCAGCAATTCAGGAAGCTGGGCAGGATTGTTTGAATCTGGGAGTTTAAGACCAGCTTGGACAATATAGTGAAACCCCACCTCTTCACACACACACACACACGCCCAACAAAAAGCAAAAGATCAGCCAACTGTGGTGGCACACACTTGTAATTTCAGTACCGTGGGAGGCTGAGGCAGGAAAATCACAAATTTGAGGCTAGGCTTAGAATGTCTCAAAATAAAAAAGGGCTGGGGATGGAGCTCAGTGCAAAGGCACTGGGTTCAATCCCCAGTACCACCAATGAAAAAAAGGTATCATTGTGTTTTTGCTTTTTTTTTTTTGAGACAAGAGTCTCATTATGCAGTTCAGGCTGGCCTTGACTATGTAGCTCAAGCTGTCCTCAAACTTGTGGCAATTCTCCTGCCTCAGCCTCCCGGGTGCTAGGATTACAGGAATGCCCCACCAAGCCCAGGCCTGATACTTCCTTTTTTTCCCTTACATTTAGTAAGTATTTTTATTTTTGAAATTTATTCATTAAGTTTATTGATACATTTTAGGTATACAAAATGACGACATTCATCATTGGGAATTTGTACCTTTACATGATGTATCTTGGTTCTTAGTTTTTAGCCCTGATATTTCTTTAGGCTTTCTGAAATACTGAAAAGAACTTACACACTTCTTCACCTTACAATTTTCTCAGACCTCTTGGAACCTGGGAATTCAGTTGCTGTCACTGACCTAACCAAGTCCCATATTCCTCCAGGGATAGTAATTGAAGCCCTGCATATGGCCAAAACAAACAAACAAACAAAAAATAAGAAACACAAACTTTTGTTTTGAAACAGGGTTCTATGTAGCCCAAGCTAGCTCGAACTGATAGCAATCCTCCTGCCTCAGCAGTAGTCTCCTGAGTGCTGGGATTACAGGGGAGCACTGCTATGTTTGGCCTGGCTAGAAATGTGAACTCTTTAAGATTTACAATGGCCATCAGTATAGCTGAGGCCCAGAGAAGCATAAGACATGGAACTGACCAAAGTTATGCCATCCCACAGAGCTCTTTTTTTTTTTTTTTTGGTACTGGGGATTGAACTCAGGTCCTTGTGCTTGCGCAGCAGGTAGTGAAACCACTGAGCTAAATCCCCGGCCCTCCTTTTTTTTTTTTAAACAAACTATTACTGGGTGAGGTGGCGCACACCCGTGATCCCAGCACTCAGGAGGCTGAGGCAGGAGGATTGCCATGAGCTCGGGGCCAGCCTGGACTACACAGTGAGTTCAAGGCCAGCCTCAACCACATAGTGAGACCCTGTCTCAAAAAACCAACCAACATACAAAAAAACCCAAGCTGCTATGTTCCCACTGGACTTCTGAAACACACTTAAAGAGAACCACTCAACTGACTGGTCCTGGCCCCTAATTTGCAGATGATCCAGACCAAAGTGGGGAACGGCCTTGCCTGACCAAGGTTACTGTCAGCAGCACCACAGGCACAGCCCCGCCCCCTTCCAGGGTTCTTCCACACAGGGCTGTTGACTTGGTAACAAGTCAGCCAACATTCCTGCAGCACCTGACATCCTCCAGGAGAAAAGGAAGGCAACTACAACCAGGGGTGCCCTCTGGGGTCTCCCGGGCCTTTCAGCCAGAGTTGGGTTTGAGAGGTATATGTCAGTAGGGTTCCGTGGGGGTTGTGGATGGGTGCTATGTGCACCACTCCTGTAGCTTCCTGGTAGAGTGAGTGGTTCAAGTTTTGGCACACAACCAAAACTGGTCTAGTAAGATTCAATCCCAGAAATGTTGTGGCAATACCTGGGAAAATGTGGTTTTTCCCCTGGTGACAATGCCAAACTTCTAAGATGAAAGCCTTACTATTATTTTGGTACCTGGGATCAAACTGAGGACCTTGCAGGCGGTGGAACCAGAAAAAATAAAAAATAAATCCCTGGCCCTAAGACATTTTCTTGTTTATTTTTTTGGTATCGGGGATCAAACTCGGGTCCTCGCGCTTGTGCAGCAGGCAGCGAAACCACTGAGCTAAATCCCCAACCCTTAAGACATTTTCTTATGACAGGCCTGAGCACCCTGACCTAGTCTTGCCAGAAGAACCTACCTCAGTATTTATTTTGCAGTGGTGGGGATCAAACCCAGAAGCCCAGTACTTCAATGTAAATGTCTGGAACACTAATGGATTTTTCCCCCTTCAAATCAGTTAAGATGGAATCCTGCCTAATTCGAGTGTGAAGCAGATGGTCCAGAAAAAGTAATCATGAACTGGCTTGGCAGACTGCTCCTGATGAGGAGGTGCTGGTGCTGACTACCTACCCCAAAGCTCCAGGGCACAAAACAATCTCTTCTGCCCCTACCCAACCCCATGCCATCCCTGCCCTTGGCTTGCTATCATTCCCAGCCCCTGCTTCCCACCGAAAGAACACAGGCAGCCAATGGCAGCTCAGGCAGTACTTGGTATACATCATACATTTATTAGTGAATATCCCTCTGAAATCAGCAACAATATTAAAAAAAATAATGATTGCACTACTTGGTCAAGCAGAACTAGCAACTTTCATTTTAAAAAAAGTACAAATCTGTTAAAAATTTCAATCAGTATACACATATATATAGTACAACATACTAGTTATGTTAAATGCTACAAACCAATGTGAATCCAATGGAATGGAAAAAACCACACATTTAAGCTTTAAGAACCATTTTTTTCTCTATATATTAGCATTTTCTCAAATACATACATGGGAAAAATGAGGTAACTGTAAAATGTGCAAGGAACAGGGCCCCCAAAATTACATATATTTATATATATATATATATATGTAATTATATGTATATAAAAACTTTCTAACACAGAACACAGGCGCTGGGCCCAGCCAGGGCTGGGGGAAGGTGCCCACTGTCATGCCTAGGCCAGAAGTTGGTAAATAAGAGTAAACAATGACAAGCCCCCACCACAGGAAATCATTGGTAACATGGCATCTATAGCAAGGTCAGCAAATCACAAACAACCCTAAATGTTTCATAAATTTTTTTTATGATGATTTTTTAAAATATTGTGTCCCCCCCACCTCCCCCCAGTAGCTGCTTGCTGGAATCATTGCTGCAGACGACACACAATCCATGAACCTGTTTCCACCTGCCCCAGGAACTGTAAGGGTTTTGAAAACCTTTTGTTGGGGTGGGCAAGGGAGGGGTGTTGGAGAGTGGTTCTGTGTAAAACACATGGGTTTTCAACACTGCTATAAATATAGAAACGTCACCTGGAATTATATACAGTTAAGACTTTGGGTTCTTCACGGGGGTGGAACCAGGCTGAGGGGTCCCATGGCAGGCTGGGTGGGAGGCAGGGGGCCAAGGTCGCTGCGGGGAGAACGAGGGTGGTTGGAGCATCCCTGAGGCAGCAGGCGCCGAGGGGTTGCCTGCTAGGATGTGCCGGCCCCACACGCGGTTCGTTCGTTCAGGGCAGCAACCCCAGCTGGGGGCAAAGAAGGAATGGGACCGGGGAAGGAGGGTAGGGAGCTCAGCCAGACCCTAAAGGGTCCCCCTCCAGACCTTGAAGGGCAAGAATCAGGCTGCGTGGGACCTCCAGGACTGAAGGTCCCCACCCTCCCTGGGCCCGGCCCTCCTGGGATTCCTTGGAGACTCACCCAGGCAGGTGGGAGGCGGACCCTGGTTGGAGAGGGAGAAATGCCCTGAAAAGCGGACGGTCCCAGTAGGCTCTAGGGACGTGTGCAGTACAGTGCATGGCAGTTATCAGCTGAGCACAGAATCCTCCAACCCTGCCCTCTGACCGCCGGCTGCCCAGCCCCACCCCAGCCAAACACATGCATGCAGGCCAGGTGGCACCCCCTGACCCTTCTCTGCCCCCTGGGCATTCGGTCCTGGTTGATCCCTGTAACCCCCACTAAATCAAAGGAAAAAAAATTGTCATAAATATCCACACCCCCAAATCCTACACAAAATTTTGGGCCAAATGAATAAACAAAAACTGTTGCTCTTCACATTCATGCAAAGTGACAGAGAGGAGAAGATTGGACATGGGTCTGCCCCTGTCCCTGGTGAACACAGGGACTCTGCCCAGCAAGGCCTAGACCCCATCAGCATACACTGCGCCGCCTGGGGCCAGTCTCCATTTGCTCAGGAGGCCCCACCAGGATGCCCTCCAGTCTGAGGCAAGGGCTGGTGGCCTGACTTCTGGGGTCAAGCAGGACTCAGCCCTGGGGCTTAGGAAATGGCATCATGCCACCATCTGTCCACACGCCTGGAAGTGCCACCTGGGCAGAGGGAGGGCATACCATTTCAGTGCAAGAGCCCAAGGTGACCCAGGATGGTGAACCCTTTGCCCACCACAATGGGGAAGAGCCCTGGCTCCCAGTGCCAAGCAGGAAAAAAAAAAAGGACCCAAGGGCAAACAGGAGGGAGACTGAGTTGGGGACCCCCAGGCAGCTCTGTGGCGGCAGACAGGCAGGCAGATGAGGAAAGGACTCTTTGGAGCTTGGCAAATGCAGGGGCTTATTGCAGGGGCTTCTCACAGGGCTGACCCTGGCTCCAGCTCTGGAGATGCAGGTGGGAACGATGGGACAGGCCTGGGCCATTCCCCTCCCTGGGTCCCCCCCAAGTTTCCAGAGCTTTGGGCAGGGTTCTGGTGGGCAGCTGTGGGGCCTCACTCAGCCTCTCTGGGTACCTCGGAGGCGTCAGCCCGGCAAATAGGACACGTCCGGTTGGCCTAAGGGGAGCAGCCACAAGTCAGGTTTCACTCTCACCTGGTTCTTCTGTTCCCCATGGAGCCAGAACTTCTGGATGACAACAGGGTTAAGGGGAAAACCTTCTAGGCCTGCCCTCCCCCTCACATGGGAGGAACACCTGGGAGAAAGCCTGGGCTGCCTTACCTTCAACCACTTGTCGACACACTTGGCGTGAAACTCATGGTTACAGGGGAGGACTCGGAGCAGCTGCCGTGCTTCAAAGTCACTGAAGCAGACCACACACCTGGAGTGGGGTAGAAAAGTATCACTCCTACCCTGACAGCTGAGGGAGAGCCCAGGCCATGTGTGAATCTCCCTGAAGAGGATCTTCTTGTAGCCCAGTTGTTCAGAGACAGGAGATGGGGATGTGGCACTCACAGCGTCTGCTCCGACTGATGGCTGTCCGAGTTAAAGCGGTAAGACGGGAGCTGCTCTATGTCTGCTTTGGTGAGCCCTCGGGGCTTGGCATCTCCCAGCCGCTCGGCCAGGTTCAGGAGGGCCTGGAGATGGACAGAATGGAAGGTCAACAGCACCCAGGCTGAAGTTTCCCAAACCCCACCTCCCAGCACGGGATGCCACGGGACCTCATAGTTCTCCATCTCCACGTCATCCACATCCAGATCCAGGCTGATGGTGGGCCCCATCGCTGTTGGTGACATTGGCAGCATAGAGCTAGAGGGGCAGGTGTGGGGGTCCAGGGTCAAGGGCAGTAGAGGCAGGGGCACAGAGCAGCTCCCCTAACTCCTCCACAAAAACAAAACCCGGAGCACTGCACACTTCACACTGGGAACCCCAGGAGGGGTGGGGAACCCAAATGGCATGTGTGGGTGTGTGTCTGGCTGCCTGGCTCGGTGGGAGTACCAGATGGTTTTAAAAGCCTTGGGCGCCCCAGGGTCTCTGTGGCTGTATTTGTGTCTGACCACTGGAGGCCCCAGGAGAACAGGCTGTCCCTGCTCTGGGGCAGATGTGCTAGTACTTACAGGAAGTAGGGCAGGAAGCTGGGGTAATAAGGTGGTGGGGGTGGGGGTGGTGGTGGCGGCAGCGGCTGTTGGAGGCGGTATCTCTGGGTGCTCAGCCTCCGTGGCATCATGTGGGAATACGGCTGCAAGAGGGGGGCCGGGTGCAGGTCAGCCCTCAGGCCTGCCTCCCAATTACCCGAGAGCCTAGGTGGGGGCTGGGGGATAGAACTCACCACACCAAAGGACAGCTCCTGGTGCAGTGGATCATGGGGCAGGTAGTGCAGGGGCACCGAAGGGGACAAAGCTGGGCCAGGGGCAGAGGTGGAGTAACTGAAGCCACCCAGTGGGTGCTGGTCCCCCCGCAGGTCCACATCATTATCGAGCCGCTGCAGGGGCTAAACGGGGCAAGGGTGGATAGCCACAGTCAGTGACAAGGCAAATCCCCACCTTCCCGCTCTAGGATCAGACACATGGCCCAGACTTACTATACGTGGGTGCTGGGTCTGCAGCGATACAAACTGCCCAAGAGGTGCCATGTGGGTAGGTTGGGGTGGTGGGGCCGGCGGTGGAGGGTGCAAGATGTAGTGGTCACTGGAGATGAGGTGAGGGTAGGTCTGGTAGGGCACAGGGAGCTGCTGCATGGTGCACGCCTGGATCAGCTGCTGAGAGAGGGGGGCTGAAGAATATTCTGGGCTCTGGGCTGGGCCCATGCTTGTAATAAGGACTAGGTCCATACATCCAGTCAGAGGTCCTCCCTGGGCACACAAATCCACCAGCTAACAGCAGCTCTGGTCATCCCATCTCTGCCCTAGGCCACCCAGGTAGGACACTGTTGTGAAGGCCTATTGTCCCCACTCCAGGGCCTATATGCTAATGTGTAAGGCAGGCACTAGGGCACAGGGAAGTGCTTGAACCCTGAAATGCTTTGTCCCTGTGTGGGAACACATACATACTTTTGTGGGAAGCACTGTGGCCTAGAGCTCAGACACTCTGACAGCCTAGGTGAGCACTGTTTACTCAGTTCTGGGGTGCCAAGTTCCTGGGGCTTGCAAGGGGGCCAGGAAAGGAGAAAGCAGCCACTCACCGGGGGTGGGAGGCAGCACAAGGGGTAGTGCTGCCCGCTGAACATCACGGAGCATGCTGGGAGCTGCTGGGCACTGCAGCCAGGGATGTGTTGGCCTGTAGGCAAGGGGAAGCCTTGGGTGGTCACCGTAGTGACTGTGTAGGACAGAGGGACAGCTCCCTGGTGTACCTGTGAATAGAGAGACCCAGAAAGCTGTAGGGAGGTAGCCTGGCTATTTGCACTACCCTAGGGAGAAACTGTCCTGTCAAGGCTCAGCTGTTCTGTCCCTTCTCCAGCTGGGGATGTACCTAGGTATAAACCAGATTGTTCCCGGCAAAGGCAACCCAGGGAATAACCCTTTAGGAGTCCAGGAGTGCTGTCCAGCTCTGCTAGCCATTCACTGTGTGGCCTGCGGGAAGTGCCTCCCCTTCCCCGGGCCTCAGTTTACCTACTTGTAAAACAGGGCCAATCATGCCACCCCTGAATATGCACTGAATTAAGCCAAGGTGAACCATGTCTTTGGGGTCTCTGCTTCTCAGGCCAGCTTGTCAGAGGTTGGGGAACAGCAGCAAGTGGGAAAGTGTTCTGCCTACCTGCTCGTGGAGGTCAACCATGAACGGGCTCTGCTGGGTGGCTGGGTGCAGCATTCGGGGGCTCCCGCCGGCAGAAGCCGAGGCTCGATGCTCCTCTACAGGGAGGTGTGGTGGTCGGGGCAGCGGCTGCTGGGAGGGTAAGCGCTCATCCTGGGCAGGTGGGCTAGCCAGGGGGCCCTCGTGGCCGGGGCTGTACCACAGAGAGGAGGTCCTGGTAGGACTGATGGGGCCATTCGTTCACAGAGCACAGAGGGAAGCCAGGGTGCTACCCCCACGGGGGTGAGAAGACAGCCCAAGCCCAAGGCCTTACCCCAAGCACCAGGGCTGGGAGACTCGTGCCTACCTTCTCCAGAGCTGGCCCAGAGCACTTCTGGGTCCTGCAGAGAACTGCCGTTGACCCACAGCGGCAGAGGGTGGCCACCTAGTCACTGCCAGAGCCCATGGTTGCATCAGGGGGGGCAGGGAGGTGGAGGGGCTGGGCTGGGACTCACAACCCTAAGAGGTAAGAAGAAAAAGAAATGAGGTCCAGAGAAGTTCAGTCACTTGCCCCATTAGGAGTTGGCCCTGCAGTGAGATTGCAGGAGCCAATGGTGTTCTTTGTAAGTCGGGAGCAGGCCCTCCTCTGGGCCCTGGGGCGCAGTGCTGACACGGCAGGGGCAGGCTCAGCCTGTAGGGAACCCAGGCCTCAGCTTCCTGCCCCGTGAAATGGGATTACGTCCCCTCAGAGTAGAGGTGCACAAGTTTAGAGACCTGGTCTGCCTGTTCCTGGGCCAGCTGGCTCCAGGGCACCTTGTCCTGGAGGGTTAGGATAAAGACCTCTTGCCTCATGTCAGGGGCTACAAGTTGATCTCTAGGAAGCTAGGGGCTCATGCTGGGGGACAGGGACCCCAGTTTCCTTCCTTCCATCTGGCTGATGCAGGAGAAATTCCAAAGAGGCCTGGGACCCAGTTCTTCTCCCTACTACTTCTCCCTCTTACCTACTATTGTTAGGTAAGAGGTTCTTTTCTGGTTCCTGGCCTAGTCCAAGGCAAAGCAGCATTCTTTCTTTCCTTAACATTCCCACAGTGTCTCCCCAAGTGTGACTTCCATCACCTCTTCAATAAAAATACTGTTAGCCCATTTTTACAGGAGAGAAAAACAGGCTCAGCAAGAGGAAGGGACTTGCCCTAGGCCACACAGTAAGTGTGAAACTTAGGAAATAAGCCAATTACAAGCCTGTCCTTGCACCCTGCCACTGGCAGGAGGCTTCACTGAAGGTGATAAAGGAAGCTGGCCCACTGATAGCCTCCTGAGTCAAAAATGCAGCCAGGCCCTTGTTCTGGGGGCCTCAACACAGCCCTCAATGTGGAAGGTGGGGCCTACTAAGAAAAAAAGAGAAGCAAGAACCTAAAACAGGAAGTTGAGTAGGAACAAGTTGGGGCAGAGTCTCCTCCCTAGGGTCAGAACAGAGCTCCAGGTGGGGGAAGCTGGGGCTCAGCTCAATATCAGGCTTTGTAAACTCCAGAAGCTGGGCTGAGACCCTGCCAGGGAAAGCTCTGGAATCTGCCAGCCCCTGCAAAGTTTAAGAGTGCATCAAACAGGGATAGCTCTTTGCCATTCCTCCCTACACCAAGGCCCCACAAATCTATGCATCCTTGATATCCAGCCTGAAACATTGTTGACAAAGCCAGGAGCCAGTGTAACTGTCAGCTCAACACCTTGTTCCTTTCTGTGAACAGCAGCACAAATTATTTCTTCTGTGCTGAGTTCTACAAGCCTGGGCTCTAATTCTAAAAACCAGCTTTTCACAGGACTGTTTTGACTTTGCAGGACAGTACCTGGCCAAGGCCGCATAGCTGGGAAATGTATGACCTAGAATTCACACTTTTCCTGCTAACTCAAGGGCTTGGCAGAAGGGGTGAGTAGGGGCCATCTTTTGTCTAGCATGGGGCAGGCCTGGTGTGATACATGTGCAAGGTCCAAGGCCACACAGCCTGGCAGTGATGACACTAGTGCCAATGATTACAAATTGAGAGATTACAAAAAAACCTGGGCTCTTATGAGGGAGAAAAATGTGGAAAATCTGGTCCCACTGGGCCTCATTTCTGCTTGCCTTCCTCACCCGGATGAGCTTTCTCTCCAGGTCATCCCACCCCACTGTCTGCCCGTTCAGCACAGGTGAGTAAGTTTGTAACCTCTGGCAAGCAAGTGCACATCCTTACATGGCCCTATTTCTTGCAGTCAATCTAGCCAAGCAAACAAAGGACAAAAGGTACTGAGATGAAATCCCAAAATAACTGAAACAGACCCCTAGCCCACCCTAGAACTTCTGGGTTAGAATCTTCAGAAGGTTGGGGAACAAGAGTACCTTGATTTTTTTTTTTTTTTTTTTTTTATCAAATTCTCCTGCAGTTTCTAGGCACAGCTAGGTTTGCAAACCTCTGCCCTAGCAGACCTGAGATCCTGGGAGCCCAGTTAGTAACAGAACCACACTATTTCCTGTGTGCCTTATAACCGCCCTGAGAGGTCAGGACATCGAGGCTCAGAGATGTCCAGTCAGCTGAAGGTGTGTGAGCGCTGGGACATGACCCCTGTGACCAGTAAGCACCCAGAATTAGCCACCCAGTTAGTGGTGCCCAGTGGCCCCAATTGCTCCTCTTCTGTCAGGCTGTCTTCTGAGGGTGGGCAGTGCCAAGACTCAAGGGGACTGATCCCAGAGGCCCGGGTTGTGGGAATCTGGCCAGCCCCCTACAAAGGCACCCACTCCTCAGGGAAGGAAAAGTAGGTAAGGAGCTGAGAAACCAGACCAACAGAGAGAAGGGCCTCTAGTTATAAGGGGTGGTGCCAAAGGTGATGTATCATCTCACAGTCCCATACTACCACTCCCAACATCTGGCAAGAGCCCGGGATGAAAACTTTGGGCACATGGCTTCTCCTCTTTGAGCCTCACCTTCCTCATCTATAAAATGGGAACAATCTAACAATTACCTTCCAGGACACCCCTGTCAAGGAGTGCTCCAAAGGCAATAGCAGAAGCAAAGTTTAACTTTGCTGGGGTGTGAATGATCATTATTAGAAAATAAGACATGCTGGGATCCATCCCCAACCCCACTGTCTGTGGGAGTATCCCAGTTGGGAAGGGAGGGGCTCTTGATTCTTTCAAGTCCTATCAGGAATAGAAGTGGCAAAGAAGGAAATATACCCACTTCACAGTCAACAAAACTAAGGCTCAGAGAAAGGAGGACACTTGCCCTACACCATAAAGCCAGAGAGGATTGGAATGTCTTGGCTTGCTCCCTAGGCCCCGACTCCCCCAACTCCCTCATTGGCATCAGTAGCCTCAGGAAACACCACTTAATTCCAACTCTATTCCAAGCCATAAAGGAGGGTGGGAGAGCATTCTCTTCTAAGCACCTGCTACAGAGAGAAGTGAAGCTCAATTGGAACTAGCAACTTGCTCAAGGTCAAACAGCAAACTGCTGGGCCTTTCCACACTTCCCTGGCTCTGCTTTCCTTGAGGTTTGTGTAACTGCATTTTGACATTCCCATCTCTAAGTCCAATCTTGCCTGGAGGCAGACACCTCATTTTATAGCAAATTCCTACACCTACCCACACCCCAGCCAGCCAACTCTTAAGTCCAGAGCCCCAAGCAGCCTCAACCCTAACCTAGTGAACCTCTGCCCTGTCTTTTGGGCCTGAGTTCTGTTTGCAGGAAGAAGCATTCCCTTTAACAGATGAGCAAAGTCAGACTTTAGGAGCACGACTACCTGCAGGCAGGTAAAGAAACTCCCCCTCCACTCCCCCCGACCCAGGAGCTCCCTGGCATGGCTCCTGGAGATGGTTGAGGGCGGGACCACCACACTGCAGAGTCCGTGGCTAGCTCAGTCTCCCCGTGACCTTGGTCAAGGAAATTCCTTCACTTCTGAAAGCCTCAGTTGCCACAACTGTAGAATGGGGTCGGAAATCCCTCCTTCCTAGAGAGCCCCACCAGAGCCAGAAGAGATAAGAAGCAAGAAAGCAAGTGGTCACATTAGGGGGGTTGGAAACCAGTGTCCCTGAAAGGCCAGCTCCTCCCCAAAGCAGGCCAGAAACAGGTTGTGGGGCTCCAGGAAGCTTCCACAGCTACCTTTCCCTGGGAATGGAACCAACGGGCTGAGACTCGGACACCTATCTCGAAAGGGGCCTCTTTCACCCCCTCCTACTACTTTGTGTCGCGCTCGGAGGGGGACTGGGGGCGGACGGCTAGACCACAGAGCCGGGACCGGGACGCTGTGACTTTAAGAGCTGAGGATCCTGGACCATGTGCTCGGCGTGAGACAAAAGCAACAACAAAGGAAGTGGTGGCCACAGGGGGAGGGGGCGGCTCCTTCCTCTCAACCGCAGCGCTCAGCCTCTAGGGAGAGACCCGTTCTGGCTCAGAGGGGTGGCCGGGGTGGGGGGTCCCGGATCCCAGGGGTCTTGCCGAGCTCCAGTCCAGACCGTCCTTGATTAACCCCTGCGGACCCAGGTGGATCACGGGCCCCATTCCCTGGGGAGGGGAACAGGAGTTTCAGGGGTGCGGGAATCAAGAGTTTGAGGCCCTAGCCCCGACTCACCTTCGGCCGCCCGGCCACACGTCGACTCCTTTGTTCACGATCTAGGACGACTAAACTGGGCAGGGGGGCGGGGGGGGGCTGCCTGGACCCTTTAAGAGTCCCCGCCCTGCGGAACAATGTGCTCCCCTCCCCACCCCAACCCCGGTCCGGGGGCAGCCCGGCTCTTCCGGGGCCGTCTCTTTGTTGTCCGCCCGACGGCGTCTGCCTGGCGAGGCCCACGCGCGGTCCGTCTCCTCCCCAAGCCTTAGGCAGCGAGAGGAGGCGCTGGACGCAGCTAGTTCGCGCGGCTGGCCCTTTAAGAACTGTCCGCGACGGCGGCAGAAAGTAACAAACCCCACATTTGATTCACAACATTGGAAGTGGCGGGGTCGCGCGCCGGGCGGGAGGGGGGCTCGCGGGGGCGCGCCGGGAGGCTCCGGCAAACAGTAGCCCGCAGAAAGACCGCGGCGGCCCCGCCCCACACCAAGGGCTCCGCCCCGCAGCGGCACTGAGAACCAATCACTCACCGTAACCGGACATGTGACCAGAGGGCCGCCATCTTGAGAGACCTTTTTTTTAAAAAATAAGCTTCCTGTCAGCCCGCACCTTCGCATTTAAAGTAACAGCAGACACAGTCAAAGGCAAGGGGCGGGGTCATAGGATCTGACAAAAAGATTTAGAAAATACGCCGAGGCAGACAGACTGATGGGCTGCAACTCGAACTTGCTATTCAAACTTTTTTTCAAATTAAATTTTTTTGATTTCAACTACTCGCGCCTCTGAGGCTGTTTCTCTGCGGGAGAAATGGGTCCCGCCCAGACAGCTGCAGCCCAGACTTACTGTGTCATGGTCCCCTCCTGGAGTGCAGGGGGCCTCCTGGGCCACTTAAGTGCAACGGGGTCTGACCTCGGATAAGACGGGGGGGGGGCGGTAGCCTCTTAAACCGGCCTGTGGAGTCAGGACGGTCCAAAGAGCTCTGGGCAGGAAACCTTGGCGATGACGTCACCCCCAAGAGCTGCAGCAATGCGATGACATCATGGTTCAGTCGCCCCACAGATCCTTGTTTATACTACCCGGCGCCTTTAAAAAGCTTGGTCGGCCAGGATTGCCCAGAAGACCAATGACCGGCGACTCATGCAAACGAGCTAACGTCTCTCGGCCAGGAGGATTGGCCCCGAGTGCTGACGTCACAGATATTTAACCGCCCCGCCCCCAGCGTGGCCAGGGGAAAGGGGCGGGGAACAGATTGTAGTTTAAAGCTAAACTGCAGCGGCCCAGGAGCGTTTGCATCCCTCTGGAGAAGTCCCTATTCCAGGGAGTTGGGAAACTAAGCCCAGAGAAGTTTCTGTACTTTATAGTTTTCCACTCCTCCCAGTAGCTGAGAAACTACTCTGAGAGGGATTAAGACAGCCAGCCCGGCCCGGGACGTAGTTCAGTGTTAGAGGCCTGCCTAGCCTGGTGAAGCCCTGGTTTAATCCCCAGCTCGCGCGTGTGTGTGTGTGTGTGTGTGTGTGTGAGTTAAGCCTGCTTATTTTACAGATAGGGGTAATGCGGATCAAGAGAGCATTCACTTGGGCTGGGGATATAGCTCTGTGACACCGTGCCTGTCTTGAAAGCCCAAAGTTATGAATTCGATCCCAGTACAAAAAAAAAAAAAGCATTCACTCCAGCAGGGGAGGGGATGTGACTCAGTGGAAAGCACTTGGCTAGTGTGTGCCAGGCCTTGGGTTCAAGCCTCAGCATCACAAAAACAGCCTTCACTCATCTGAGGTCATCACATAGCCGGAAAGTGTGGCAGAGCAGAAATATGAATCCAAGTCAAGGTCTAGTTTGGTCCTCCTTTGCCTGGATGCCTCCCTAGGCAGACCTTATAAAAGTGGGTATTATATCCAAATCAATTATATAAGCAGAAAACCAGTAATAATCTACCCTAAAGCTGGAGATGGCTACCATAAAGAGGCCCCTGAAGCTGTACTGCCATGGGGCTACCTCCAAGACAGCCCTAAACAAACAGGGTGCCAGTAAAAACTGGTATTTATTAAATCTGCATTTTGGGGTGGAGGCTCATTTTCTATGCTTCTTGGATATATTTCATAATCCCAAATTTAAAAAAATTAAAACCAGGATACTGAGCAGGATGTAACAGAATTGTCAAGTTTTTAATTGGATATATACCACATCAGCATAAAATATTTCTGAAAAGATATAGAGGAAACTGATTAACAATTGTCCTCAGGGCAAACTGGGTTAGAACAGACAGTTTATTGTATATGACACTCTATTTGCCCTTTTTAAAAAGTTCTGTAGGATACAACCTACTGGAAAGATTAGCAAAAACGACAAGAATTGTTTTACGTCTTTTAAGCCACAAAAACGTCTGTTCCTATAGAATCAGAACTCCTCCTTCAGGAAAGGTATCCAATGGAAAGGATCCTAAAGGAAGTCTGGGGAACAGCCCTGCATATTGCAAAGTATTTAAACCAACAATAATCAATATTACTATGGATGTGCAGCCAGTAGCACAGTGAGCTGTTTGCAATCTTTAAAACACACAAGGTCAAGTTCCAGATGTGCTGTTACAGATGTTACCCGGAATGCCAAACTTGGTATCCATCAACAGTTAAAAATTACATGTGTATGGGAGCCGGAGATCTAGCTTAGTGGTTTTGCCACCTGCTGTGCAAGCGCAAGGACCTGAGTTCGATCCCCGGTACCAAAAAAAAAAAAAATTACATGTGTATGAGATTAAGTTCCGATAAACACAGTGATTCATATTTTCTTTCAGTACGAGGATAGAACCCAGGACCACAAGCAAGCTAGGCAAGCACTCTACCACTGAACTACGTCTCCAGTCTTTAACTGGTTCCTATTATCCACTCTTCACTTCCTATATGTCTTAACCCTTCACTTTCCCCACCACATAAAAGCAGTTACAAAACATTTGAGGCCAGCCTAGGCTACACAGTGAGTTCAAGGCCAGCGTGAACTGCATAATGAGACCTTGCATCAAAAAAATAGTGACCCTACAGCCACCAAGCCTCTGGCTATGTATTTTCTCTGCTTAATATATCCTCAACATCCCCTACTTGCCTTTGCCAAAGTCCTGCTCAAGCTTTAGGGCCAGCTCAAAGACCACCTTTTCTAAGCCTGCTCTAATGTGTTGGCTTGCTCTGACTTCCCTGACCCACTAGAACTATTACCACATTGTATCATGACAACAAAGGCTGTCTACATGTGGCTGTACCCCATGTTCCCAGCTGGGCCCAAACACCCTGTACAGGGCCTGGCTCATACTCTGTGACAGGTGCCCAAGGAAGGGGCTCTGTTTGCCCCCTAAACCTACTTGGCTAGAAAATCCCTGCCCTGTCTTCTCTCCTGCATGACCCACTCATTACTTCTCCAAATATGACCCTGGCTCCAGGAAGTGCTAGTGAATCCCCAGAGTCCCAGAGGCCACTAACACATCTGCTTTTACCTTGCAAAACCTTCCTGGGCACTTGCAAAAACAGCCTGTAGCCAGCAGGAAGGAGGCAGAATTCTACCATATTTCTTTTTCAGTAGAAGCCAGAGCTGGATGTGATGGTGCATGCCTGTTATCCCAGCACTTTTGAGGCTGAGGCAAGAGGATTGACTGCTTGTATTTGAGGCCAGCCTGAGCTACACAGGGAGATCCTGTCTCAAAAAGAAAAAAACAAAAAGCCAGGAACCTGGACTTTTCCTCAAAATCCTCTGCTTTGGCCTGCACACCTACTGTGTGCTTCTATCTTTTTTTTTTTTGATACTGGGGATTGAACTCGGGACCTTGTGCTTGTGAGGCAGGAGCAGTGCCACCGAGCTAAATCCCCAGTCCTGTGTGCTTCTTTCTCATCACACCCTGCCCCCTTTAAGTTAGGTACTGTTTACAGTCATCTTACAGAAAGGAATAGTTCAGAGGTGGGAAGTCACTTTTCTCACCACAGAACCCAGAAATGTGGCCCAACGGGCTCCAGAAATCATCGGTGGGGGTGGCCTGCCTCTGCCTTGCATCTGCTCTAGGTCCTGTGAGGAGACGCAGGTCCTACCTAGGGTATCCTGCAAGGTCTTGTGAGTCCCATCCTGATCATCTTCTCACAATGGCTACTTGCCAGAGTGTCTGCCCTATTTTTCACATGAGGAAACTGAGGTGAGAGGTGGTATGACTGATGCAGTGTCACAAAAGGCGCATAGAGATTCAGGGTTGCTCCAGATCACACCAAGGAGATAAAACCCAGAGGGAGACTCAAATCCTGTACCTTGATACTACATTCCAGCTTCCCCCTCCAGACCTCTGCAGATGGGACAGGCTTAGGCACGCTGAGACAGGAAGAGGAGGGTGTGGTTATTATTTCCGGCTGGGGCCCAGCTCAGTTAGGGTTCCCACCTACCCAAGGACCTGGACAGCAAGCTGCCTGCCTCAGGATCAGAGAAAGTACTCCACTCCTCCCTTCCATGGCCTCTTAAGCCCTCCTCTAAAGAGGCAGGGCACAGTAACCTTCCCAGGGCTCATGTGTGCAACATTCTGGCTCCAGCTTTGAGAGTCGGTAATTTATTTGGCTCCTCTCCACTCAGTCTCTTGACTGTAAAATCGGGACAATAACACTAATGACAGATGGCATTTACTGAACACCTAAGATGCACCCAGCACATCTCCCACGTGTTACTAAGGCCCTAACACTACACTGATGGTCACATGCAGAGCCTGTTCTGCCCCTTATGAGCTGTGTGACCTTGACGTAACAAACCTCTGACTGTCCAGGTGTAAAATGAAGATGAGAGTACATACCTCAGTGGGTCAATAGTGGCTGTCAAGTGTGTGCCTCTCTGGAGTTAGCCGGCAGGCTTTCTGGGTCGGAATCATTTGGATGTGTGAGCTTTCTGTCTGTGTGTGTGGTGGGGGTACCTGGGGGCTCCCCTGACCCACCCCCACTCCTGAAACTTCCACCACCAGAGCCTTGAGGGTCTGCAAAGGCACCAGGAACCATCATCCCATTGTCCCGATATAAAAACTAGGGGCTGCTGGTGTGCAGTGCCGGGCTGACCCAGGGAGAATACTTCCAACCGAATTCTCCATTTCCCCTCCATCTTAAGTGTCCCCTTTCATCTCCTCTCCTCCCTGGTCCCCAGCAACATTTCCACTCGAGCTTAGAGGCCCTCAGACAACGGAAGTTGTGTGACTCTGGGGAAGACACAGCCCGTCCCGGGACCCTTCGACATTCGGGCTTCCTGAATGCAGAAAGGACTGCGCTAGAGTGCAGTGCTCTGTTACCCGGACCTTCACTACTCCGGGGCAGAGCCCGGGCTGTTCTGGCTCCCCAGTAGCCGGCACAGGGGGCGTCGGTAAAACGACTGAGAACGACATAAAGAGACCATAGGACTCCATCGCCTCTGCGGCTCTCGATCCGGGGCGTCCGGGTCCCAATTGAACCCGGACCGCCGGGGGCTGT